AAAAAATTTCGTTCCCCCCCCCCCCCCCCAGGATTCTAATAATGAATAAAAGGAGCATTTATTTGAAACAGAAATCTTTTGTATTTTGTATTCATCTTTACTGTCGCTTTTGTTCAATTTAATAACGTTTGCTAAAAAAATTAATTTCTTAAAAAAAAAAAAAATCTTACCCCCTAAGCAAATTTAGAATCACACTATTTTTTTACACCAATTATCTCAACCGCAATTATGGTGAAATAAGTGCTAGATAATAACTGTGTTGTGCTAAAGGTATTGCAACATTGTCGATCTTGTGAATCCTTATCTAGCATTTTGACATCTTTACATTCTAAAAAGATCAGAACCTGTGATGAGGAAGTTGCCGTGTTCCTCCAGTGCCTCGCTGTACTTGCGCACCACATGGTTGAGGCCCAAGTCCAACTCATAGAAGGTCAGAGTCTGCTGTGTGTTTGCTGCAGCCTCTCCGGTGGGATCATTATCGGCCTCCTGCAAAAAACATTTAACACTATGGGTTAGAGACATGTCACCTAACTGATTATATTTGTAAAACCATGAAAAACCAGGATGAAGTAATATCATGGCATTGGCTACACGCAAAAACACCCCAATCTGTAAAGAATCTGTTCCTTATTAAGCTAGCTGCTTGTGTTTACATCCTAGGCAACGTAGCAGTGGTCAGGCCACCAACGTGAATCTTATTCCACCACTAGTTCAGTGGTTCGACCTTTTTGACTCAAAGGCCCACCACAATATTCGAAGACCACCCTCATATAGGCTAAGATATTTCTGGTTTTGTGATTAGCATTTTTCATTTAGATTAGAATTGTTACTATAAATTTAATATTTTAGCTACTTTTACTTTTAAGTCATCCTGCATTCCCCTTGGGAGGTTTCAGACCCTAGCCCTCAGGTTGAAAACCAATGCACTACAAGAAAGACACTGACCTCATAGTCCATCTCCAGGCAGGCAAACATAGGGTTCTCAAACCCCACATCCACACCAACCACATGGTAAACAAGTGTATTAGCCTTGTGGGCCTCTAGAGGGGAGGAGATGGTAAGGCGGGCAGCTGCATCTCTGTTCAGGATGTATACCAACTTCTGCTTCTCTATGGCACCTAAGAAAATGGAATGTGGATAGTAAAAACGCGAGAACACAATTTTCAATTAAAGGAATAGTTCACCCTAAACTAAAAATTTACTCCAGCCCATCAATGTTTCGTGAAGCAAAAAGATGCGTGTTTTAGGCAACAAATCCATCAAGGCATTTTAACTTTTAACCGTCACTTCTGGCCAAAATACTAGTTCATAATAATGCTTCCTCCACCATAAAAAGCCCATCCTCCGTTGTCCTTTCACATCAAACAGTCGCTTCTGGCCAAAATTCTCGTCAGCAATAATGCACCCTCCACTGGAAAAAGTCCATCGTCTGTTATCCTCTTAAATCAAAACCCACTGACATATTTGGTTAGAATGGTTTTGGAACATTCACTTGTAAACGGTGCTTGATTTTGCTATGGACTCAGACGAGATTACTTTTTCACTGAATATAGCAATATGATGGATAGAGGACTCATATTTTAGCTGGAAGCAAAGGTTTGAAGTTAAAAACGTCTTTACAAACACAGTTTTTCACTTCACAAAATGTTAACTGACGGACTGCAGTCATGTTGATTACTTCTTGACTATTGTGATGGTTTATCAGCTGTTTGAACTCATTCTGATGGCAGCCATTCATTGCAGAGGATCCGTTGGTGAACAAATTATATAATGCAAAATTTCTCCACATTTGTTCTGATGAAGAAACAAACTCAACTACATACTGAATAGCCTGTGGGTGAAAACATTTTCAGCAAATTTTAATTTTAGCAAACAATTCCTTTAACTGCTATCCTAATGCATGTCAAACTGCTACAACCCTTGTAGTCTTTACTACACAGAGTCTGTAGCTTTACCTATCATAAGAGCTCTGCCCTTTGGGTCCACAGCGAGGAACTGCCCTGGCACGATACGTCTGCAGCCGCTCTTGCCGAATGTCTCCTGGTGTATCTTTTCAAACATGTTTTTGGAAGGATGGTACTCCAAGATCACAATTCGGCCAGAGTCACTTCCAATCACAACATAGTCTATTACAAGGTGAGAGATCCATAAGAATTAATCAATCTCTATACATATGATCTATGCAAAACAACAATTTGAACCAAGTTACTAACCTTTAGTTCCACCTGTCAACCTGAAAGCCATGAGGGATCGGATAACACCAAAAACCTCCATAGTAAGCAGCGTGTGGACCTTCCCCGTGTTGGCATCAGGACGCAGCAGTTCCAGAATTTTCCCACGGGAAACAACAATCTCCTGCAGCTTAGTTCCTAGTAAAAAAGGAACACCAAAGATTTAAAAATCATTCTTAATTCTCAACACTTTAAAATAAAATGCAACACTATTCTTGCAGTTACCCTAACAAAAATAAGTAAAATACACTGCATTTAAGAAACCACCCAGGAAGTGTTGTTGTTCTGTGATATACCTGAGAAGTTGCCATGGATGGCATGGGAGATGCCAGTTGCCCGCTGCAGGGTCAGGTTGTACAGAAACATGGCTGCTGTGACTGCACCTTCAGGCTCAGGACAAAGAGCTTAACCAACACCTACAAGCAAGTCATACAGAGAATGTATAAGCATCAAAGTTAAAAGTGAGGACAGCAAAACGACTCATAAGGCAGAAACTAGTGTTCATTTCATCTAATTAGCACAGAAACATTAAACTTAAAGGGGTCATATGATGCGATTTCATTTTTTCCTTTCTCTTTGGAGTGTTACAAGCTCTTGGTGCATAAAGAAGATCTGTAAAGTTGCAAAGACTAAAGTCTCAAATCCAAAGATATGTGGAAAATAATGTGTTTTTTTAACTTTAAACCGCATAAACACATTTCATTACACCAAATACACCAAATAATGTTCTTTTTAGCAGCATCATATGACCCCTTTAACATTACGCATAAAGCACTGCATTAGGAACAAATACGTTCCATATATGGTCTTATGTTAACTTTAACAATGCTGATGGCTCGGAAAATAAATATGTTGGATTTTAAACACAAAGATTAGGGTAATCATTTTGTATTTTCATTAGTAGCTCTATGGCAAATCAAATGTAAGTAAGACAAACTGAACTCTGCATAGTGAGAGCAAGTTTTTAGAGTTTCACTTTGGATTGTTCGTCGAGTTACAACATGCATGGAAGAAAAAAAAAACAATTCGCTAAATAAGTGTTCTTGTAACTTTACATCATGTAACACAAAATCAGCACATAATCTACAGCAAACGGCGCTTGAATTTGCAAGCGTTAGTCCAGTTATCCATTCATCTTTAGCCGGTCGGCTAACAAACTTTATAGTCAAAATTAAGGTTATTACTATAATTTCTGAAAACAAAAGTTAGTATAACAAAGAAATATGGGTTATTTGCGAAATGTATTTAAACTATTTACCGAATTAGCAACCAGGATGTTGTAGATTTCAATCAGATGAGAAACGTATATATTTTATTGGCCTGGTCCCTCTTTATTTCAAACGGCGCTGGAACGACAGAGGGCCTCCCAGTTATGTGGCGCACATCAGTATTGTCCAAATACATGCCTGAGCGAAAAGATCGACCTCAAAAAGAGAATTGGTAGAAACGTGCTATAAAAACGACATTTCTGTTTTTCATATTTTCTCATTTTTATGGAATATTATTTTATTCAATTCTAACTGTTAAGTTTGACTGAAGTAAAATATGTGAAAGAACAGATTTTGAAATGTAACATACATTTACCACGTTAACCCTTTTTTTGCCAAAGTATTATAGTTACTGTTACTACAATAAAAATGGTAACGTTTATTGACTAAGGACTTTAAATTAAACAAAAAGGGAAATTAAACAAAGTGGTCGAACGATTCTGAAAGCTTTTGGACTGTCTGAAGGAGGTCCCATAATGATCTAACCTATGATTTTTGGTTCAATGTTAATAAAGACGAATTTGGTTTTGTAATAGAACGATTGTAGTATCGTCTTTAAAATGGCATCACATTCTTTTGAAAAGAAGGCACTCGACGTTTTAACTCTCTCACACTTTCTTTCTTTCTTTCTTTTCTTTAGCATGTGCACTGTAGTTACGGAAATTCCAGAAAATAACCACATACCGTAAAGGCAAAACGTTTCATTTTTTTCCATTACAGTTTAAAACGATGACCAAATTTATATAACTACCATTATTTTTAGTTTGAAATTGCAAGAGATTTAAATATCTCAACTACCCTTTTACAGCTTCAATATGTTTAAGTAGATTTTTTTTAGAGTGTCAAATAATGTTTTTAGTTGAATGTTTATTTTATTTTTGTTAGTAATTTTTAGTAATTAATAGTGTTTTTGTATTGTTTTTGTTTGTTAATTTTTCTTTATATTTGTATTATTATTTTAATTACAATCACTTGCAAGGCAAAACATCTTATATAAATGCATAAGAAAAAATGTATTGGGTTAGTCGCTCAAATAAATGAACAAAAAAAATAACGGTTCGCAGTTTAGCGATAAATCATTTAAAGAACTACACATCCCAGTAGACTGTTAACGCGATTGGAGAATTTGGGGTGAGGGTGTCTTGTTGAGCGGGGGCATCACACAGGGTCTACACGCAGCATTGTGAGAATTACATTGTTGCACATTATCCAAGGGCTTAGAGACGATAAAATAACGGACAGCAGGATAAAATCCTAGTGCACAACTGCATCAGAATACTACGTGGACGCTGGAAACGACCACCGGCAGAGAATTGATGTGAATAATCATATGGAAGCTGAATGCTGTTCATTTAGTGCAACATCTACAACAGTCTGCAGAAATTTACATTCCAGAGAGGAGGTGAAGTGGGTGTCTTTACGTCCAAAAACTGCCCCAGCTTTAAGAATACACCATGATGAAGTGTTATGCATCCTAAGAGGCATTGCAAGGTAAGGAAAGCATGAGCTTCATAAAATTTGTCATTTGTGTCCATTGTGTTAAATATAACCTGTTGTGGTCAATGCTTGTGTGGTTTTCAGTCCATTAATGTATAACCCCTCCTTTTTTATTTTTAAAGCAGATAGTCCCAGATTGTGTAGCTAGAGTGGTCGGTCCCTGACCCACATCATGCATAGAGGCACTCAAGAGGGACCCGTGGCTTGCCCCTTTGTGTCCCATCTCATTTATGTGAGGGTCTCATTCCACTCTGAACCCACCCTTACCGATCTGCCAGCGTTGCTTAGATACAGGAAAGAAAGAGGGGTAGTAAAGGATTTTCTCGGGGGTTGATGTGATGGGGTGACCTAATCAAGTCTTTGTCTCATCCTTATGCAGTTTATTCAAAGTAGACACAGCTCAACTCCAAAGATGTGGATGTTAACTCAATAAAGTGAAATCAAATAAGCAGTATGTTGACCAGAAAGACAACAAAAATGATTTAAAGATCTATTAACCCATCCTATTTTCCTTTTATCAGGGAAGCCTATGGCAAAAGTGCAGGATTTCCTTCCCATTTTACAGACTGAGTAGAATCACTATAACTTAACATATTTAACATGACTGTACTGGAATTTAAACACCACTTGTACATTAATAAACCATGTGCTTTAAAGATTTTCATAGATTTCATAGGTTTTAGCAGACAAGCATTTTCCATGCCCTTTTCACCAAAGAACTACATATGGTTAGATCAGTTATGACAGGTAAACTTATAGTTATTAATGTTTATTAAGCTAGATATAAGATTGAAATGTGTGTGTTTTTTTTTATTTATCATATGTAAAAATTCTGGCCATATTGAATAAGCTGCACCTATTTAAAAATATTAACTATCACATACTAATAATACAATATGATCCAAGTTATACTCAACTATAGGTCCTAAAAGGTTTAATTACATGCTAGTTTATTTACTAGTATCTGAATTCTATTCTGTTATATATGAAACAAAAAGAATTTTGGTAGATCATTGTAAGTGGCTCTTTTTCTGTAACGTTGAGGCTATTTTGTGGTGATTTAAATGCTATATCACATAATATCTCACTGTAAACAGCTTCTGCTGCAACACTTTTAATTAATTTCTGATTCTGTCATGACATTCAGTTTGCCCTTTGCTAATTGGTCACTTTTCAGTGACTGAATTTGAGAGGACAGTTGCTGTTTGGAGTAATTGCAGGACTCTGGTGATAGGGCTCTTTTTTATTTGAAGAAATGTCACTGAAAAAATGTTTTACTTTAAACCAGTTTTCACTGCTTGTAAATTTCACACATAGGCCTAATTACAGGAAATGACAAGTAACACATTGAATTAAACCTGAAATTTTGAAGTAGAAAGACTGAAGTAGTATTTCCTTGTAAAACATACTCCGATAACCCCTGACCCCCCCAAAAAAACATTTTATTTATTTATATATTTATTTTACATTGACATAGACACATGCGGTCAAAATAAATCTGTTTTGCAGCTCACTGTGGTTATCAGTTCACAACAGAGAAAATGGCCAAGCTCAAGTTGAGTTTAATATGAGCAGTAATTTTTCCCAAGGCATAATGGAGGACCATCTATTTCTTATTATATCTGCTGCGACATTATGCAGAGCGACTCAGTGCTGAAACCATATAATGAATAAATCATTGCATTGAATATTTTAATCACCTGATGTGTTTCTTAAACACACATGTCCTTGAGTTGAAATTACAGTTTGAACTATTCAAATGTCACTAAGAGAGGATACAGAAAAGAACTTTGCATATTGAGATAGTCTGTAAACTTGTCTTGTTTGAGCAACTGCTCTACTTGACAGATGTTCATAATCTTCTGTAACTAGGCTAACATAGTACCCGGGGAATTTCAGGAGCCAGCAGAAGTCCTGCTGACTTAGCCTTAACTAGGTTAACACTGCGTACAGAGCGAGCACGCTGTCAAAGAGTCACATATGAGAGATTTTAAATAGGTTACTCTTTGGGAAACCTTTTTCGATCAGGGATTTAAATTGGTTAATTCACAGAGCTTTGACAGCAGGGTTACCTGAAATTCACTTCTATCAACCTAAATAACTCAACTCAGCATTTACAGTTACAGCACTTGCAACATTTTACCATTATGTTTGCATCTTAATTTGGAGATCACATGGATTGTACAGAAAATAACAAATAGGGCACCTGCTGCTGAACACACTAGAGTTGTCTGTAGATCTGTATTCTTGTGTGTGTGTGTGTGTGTGTGTGTGCATGCATGAGTTCTCTGGGTTTCTCTTTCCCTGAGAGACCTGCTCCCAACCCCAAACAGATGGAAGACTTTTCTTTCAGATGCTCATCATATCAGATCACTGAAATTGTAATGGTTTTTACAAACAGTAACAGTCCCAAAATATCTTTTTGAGTTCAGACTAGACAGGAAGGAAACATGACACTCTCAGCTCTCACTGTTTAACCTTTGTGCTGTGCTAAAAATCCAAATTTGGCGTTCCCTGTCCAAAATGATTGGCCTTTTAAAAATAGCTTGTACATTTTTCATTATGCTATATTATCACCAAATCTTGGATTCAATCTTTTCGTCAGCTTCTTTTCTTTCAATTAGTACAGGTTTGGTATTTCTTACTGGAACTAATTGGTCTTAGGCCTCACTGATCTGAGCTTATGTAACTTTGAGTGACAAAAGCACAATTTGTGGATAATTTTGGCAATGTTCACATAATTAAAAGAAAACAAGTCAATAAAAAGATTGAATCCAATGTTTGGTAATAATATAGCATAATGAGATATTTATAAGCAATTTTTTTGTAGGCTGGTCATATTTGACCAGGAACACTAGTGTAAAAATGTGGCAAAAACAAACATCATTTTTGGATAAATTTGGCAGTGTTCACTCAAAAACTGCTAATTAAAAGAAAACAAGTCAATTAGAAGATTATATCCAATATTTAGTAATGTTTACTTGTTTGTTTCAATTAGTAAAGGTTTGGTATTTCTTATTGGAACTAACTGGTTGTATAGGCCTCATTGATCTGAACTTACGCACTTCAGTTATTTGCAGAGGCGGACAAAGTACTCAACTCCATTACTTGAGTGAAAGTACAGATACTGCTGGTCAAATATTACTCCATTACAAGTAAAAGTTGTAAAGACAGATTTTTACTTAGGTAAAAGTACAGAAGTACTTGATTTTAAAAGTACAAAAGTAAATTTCCTTTTTTATGTCAATGCACAATGCAACAGATACTCAAAAAGTGTACTTAAATACAATACTCAAGTAAATGTACTTAGTTACTGTCCGGCTCTGGTTATTTGTGGGTAATTTTGGCAATGTTCACTAAAAACTGTGCTAATTAAAAGAAAGCAAGTCAATAAGAAGATTGAATACAATATTTAGTAATAATACACCATAGCAAGACATTTATAAGCTATTTTTTGTAGGGTGATCACTTTTTCCCAGGAACACTAGAAGTGTAAAAAGATGTGAAAAAAGTACAAAAATTATAAAATTTTTAAAGTTGTTATACCCTCTGTGAGAGAGGTTATGGGTTTTAGTCCAAAACGATAACATTAACTAGCATTTCATGTTTGGGAAAAAGAAAATCCGGGTCAAAATGACTGTTAAGCACATTAGATTGATTAGATTATTACAGTTTGACTTTGAGCAAGCGCACACATCTGTAGCTTACCTCATTTACTAATTGTAAATTAATCCAAATTAAATGTTAACAAAATAGCTCTAGGGTTTATTCTAATTTTGGAAGTTAACAGATTTCGGAAAGGTATAATAGACGACATACAACCTTTCAATCTGTCATTGCAGCACTTTCATGACATCCGGATATAGTGTGAGCAACATTTCAAGTAAGGGTTAACTGTGCCAGTAATGTGATGTTCTGGAGCCAGCGTTGCCCCTGGTTTTCTTCTCGATCGATGGGCTCTGCGACAGGCCTTGGCATCTGGCCCCAGTCTAGGTGGCCTTAGAGGATCTCTACTGGATGAGTGAGGGAGAGAGAGACCTTTCTGAGCACAGGAGAATAAATACTTTGTCAAACAGAGAAAGTGATGAAAAACATCATTAAAAGAAGACGGCACAGAAAGAATGATTGAGAGAATAGAGAGGTTTGATACGGAAAATGGCCACAGTAGGCTGAAAGCACATCTTTTTCTGTACTTGCCAAATAGAAAGAGATACTGTAGATAGAGGTACAGCCACAGATGCATGGATAATTCATGAATATGCTACAGAGACACAGCAAGGAGATGTGAGGCGTCAAACCTGTGCAACAGAGACAAGGTCAGTGAGGAGCAGGTAATTGAGGTCCACATATTGACCACATATTGTATTCATCTGTGGGCTTTTAAGGAAGACTTCAAATTTCTTCTCAAAAGTTCATAGTTTAAACCACTGCAAAATAAAGAAAGAAAGAAAAAGTGATGCACCATATTAAAATGATGCACTCTAAAAAATGCTGGGTTGTTTCAACCCAACTTTGGGTCAAATATGGACTAACCCAACGTTTGGGTTAAAACTTTAATTAAAAAATTTAACCCAACAGCTGGGTTAGTCCATATTTGACCCAACATTGGGTTGAAACAACCCAGCATTTTTTAGAGTGTGGCAAATACAGATAAGATGATAATTATTTCTAAATCACTATTAAAATATATTAGATGTAAAATAAATAAACTGTATGAAACACAATTTTAAAATGCTACAAATGAATTAATGCATCACAACATAATGTACAGTATGAAAAAATTCCAGCAGCCAATATTTGCAATGTTGAGGTCACTTGCTTCACCTGTGCTGATGCCAGAAATCAAAGTCAATGTTCCTGAATAGGACCTTACACACACACACACACTGGCTTTTAGAGCCTGAAGCAGAGATGAGGGTGCTGAGTCAGACACTTGGGCAGCTGCAGCTGTCACGGCTCCCACGGCACACAAACACAAATTTCTGGTGAGGCAGTTTATGCGAGAATAAGACATGGTGACTGTACCATCCATCGCTGCTGTTATAAACAGATCTCTCCTATACAAGCGTTTTGAACTCCTAGTTCTGCATGATGTGTTTGCTGCTTCTTTGAGATGATTTCTGCTCTGATTTACATTCTAAGATCGAGAGCTACCGAATTTCCCAGGCCTTTGAGATCCATGAGGGCTGTTTTCTGCAGCATCGTAGAGATGTATCTGTGATTGCTCATAATAGATCAGCTTCTGCTGGACATGAAGGACATGACTGGTGGCATCCCCTGTGGATCTGGTTTGTCCAGAAAGGCATGATGAAGGGTCAACAGTTGCTCCAGGAGAATGCGACTCATTGCCTTTGGGCACAAATACAATTCAAGGGTACGGATTGCTTAGCTGTATGCTGTTAACTGATCCAGTGGCTCCTCAGGGCAGTGTCCCAATTAGCATGGATATGAAATACATTCTCAGAGTTAAAAGAAAGTGTTTGCAACTGTCAAATCAGATGGCACGAAATGTTTTTATGTTAGATTGTTATAAATTTGGTAAGAAATGTTTTTTTAGACGCTTTTTATCTGTGCCCAAGATAATTGTGACATTAAGTTAATCAGGCAGAAACTTGTTTGGATGAGTCAAAATAGCACCTAAGGTTATATCTAGTTTTACTTTCATGTTAGGTGCACAAGGCTAAATACATTTTCCCTTGAGAGGGTATAAAGATATATATATGTATAAGACAAAACAGAAAAAAAGAATGAAATAAAAATGCGATAGCCAGTATTTCCTGAGAGGCAGAATGGGAAATAAACACGACCAAAATAGCACCTAAGGTTATATCTAGTTTTACTTTCATGTTAGGTGCACAAGGCTAAATAAATTTTCCCTTGAGAGGGTATAAAGATATATATATGTATAAGACAAAACAGAAAAAAGAATGAAATAAAAATGCGATAGCCAGTATTTCCTGAGAGGCAGAATGGGAAATAAACACGATTGAAGCTGAAGGCTATGCATAAAATCAATTTGAGACTTGAATTTGATTAGAGAGGCAGGCATCTCTCATTTCATTTTCCGTCATTTTAGTTTGAGGCTTGAAGCTCAAGTGGAGTGAAAGGTTATAGGGTTTTTTTTGTGATTAGTGTGACTCAGATAAAGCTATGAGACGTTTTTTTGTGATGCAGAAACTGTAGTAGCCATAAGGCACTTTGGTTAAAAAGTTTCAATTTTCAAATCAAGTTCTGTATTGTAAACTCAGTTTGGGATTATTTATCTGAAGAATAAATTCTTAGAGAATAAATCTGAAGAATGATTGATGACGAACACCAGCATTAAAAGAGGTCAGAATGATGGCCCGTTTATTATTAGGCCACATTCCCAGAAATTAAATGCAATTCCTTTAGTAATTACAAAATGTGACCCTGCACCACAAAACCAGTCATAAGGGTCAACTTTTCGAAATTGAGATTTATGCATCATCTGAAAGCGGAATAAATACGCTTTCCATTGATGTATGGTTTATTAGAATAGGACAATATTTGGCCAGGATACAACTATTTGAAAATCTGGAATCTGAGGGTGCAAAAAAAATCTAAATATTGAGAAAATCGCCTTTAAAGCTGTCTAAATTAAGTCCAAAATCAAAAATTAAGTTTTGAAAAATTTACAGTAAATATAAATATGAAATTTATAAGTTTACAAAATATCTTCATGGAAATATCTGGAATCTGAGGGTGCAAAAAAATCTAAATATTGAGAAAATCGCCTTTAAAGCTGTCTAAATGAAGTCCAAAATCAAAAATTAAGTTTTGATATATTTACAGTAAATATAAATATGAAATTTATAAGTTTACAAAATATCTTCATGGAACATGATCTTTACTTCATATCCTAATGATTTTTGGCATAAAAGAAAAATTGATAATTTTGACCCATACAATGTATTTTTGACTATTGCTACAAATATACCCGTGCTACTTAAGACTGGTTTTGTGGTCCAGGGTCACAAATGTCGACTGAACTAAGAATCATTGAATGAAAGCTTCTGAGCTGGAAAACACATTCCGCTGACACCAGATTACATTGGAAGAAAATGTTGATTTAAATAGCTAAATCATAATTTTAGTCTACTTTTTAAATGAAAAAAAAAACACAAGACACAATAATCATACTTTTTCCCCCAGAGAGGCCTAACAAGCAATAATGTATCCAGCTTTAAAAGGGTTTAATCCATTAAACATGAAATTAGATTAAGCCTTAGGGCCAAGCCGTTGAAAATTACTATTTTATGATTAGATTAATCCTCAGCCGGCGAGAGAGAGTGCATTATTTGTCAGTACATTAACCCTAGAGTCACTGGACAGGCATCGGTTTCCCTCTCTGCTTCCAATCTGATCACAGACAGCACAAAACTGGAGCCGTCGACTGTTGAATATGTAATAACAACCTGTCCAGCAGCGAGTCGGAGAGAATGCAAGCCCACCCAGTATGTGAATGTCTGCTCTTCTCTTTCAATTACATTTCCATTGCAGCTAGCTGTGAGGTTTCGTTGCCAAGGCAACTCAGACACCCACTCTACAGTGTTCGGCTCACCCTTGCTGAGCAGGCACATTGGTCAAGACCCACTAAAAGCGACCGAACAACAAAAGAGAGAGGGAAAGAAAGAGTAAGCTAAGGTCAGTGGATGTTTTTTGTGTGTGATACCTGTGTATGGCTGAAGAAGGAAGAAATGGAGAATTTGGTGCCAGTGTTATCGTCTGAATTTGTCCTAGAGAATGTATTGCAAGCATGCGTTTGTATATGTTTGGAGTCAAGAATCCGAGTAATAATGTTTTGAGCGCAACAGTCATGTTTAGACGTGTTGACCAAAAGCGAATAATAATGGTTACATATCTCAGCTGCCTGCTGTTTGTTGTGAGTCTAGCAACTGGCTTTATAAATGAGAAGACTGTCATTTTGAGATATTGGATGGGGTAGGAGGATGTGATGCTTGGTGAGAAAATGAAGCATGAATTGAATAGACGGGGAGCATAATTCAGCTTTAAGAGGATTTTGCCTTTCATTTGAGATTTTATAGCCTATATATATGGTGTGCTGACTTCCATACTTTTTTTAGACAGTGCTATATAAGTGCATCACACTTATATGCTGGTCCTTAGTAAACCACGCTTAGTAAAGGTGACTCTCAAGATTCACAGAGGTAGCATAAATTTATGTAAACAAAAATAACACATGACAATCAGTTCAGTTACATGAATTTTGAAGCCTGTACACAGAACAATTAATAAAAATGTGAAAGTATAAATAAAAATCCAGCTAAATGATTAACTTTTTATTAAACACAAAAGTTTACAAGTTAGAGTTCACTATGAGGCAGTGTTGGGGAGTAATTACATGTAACGGAATTACGTAATTTAATGGATGTTTTTTGTGTGTGATACCTGTGTATGGCTGAAGAAGGAAGAAATGGAGAATTTGGTGCCAGTGTTATCGTCTGAATTTGTCCTAGAGAATGTATTGCAAGCATGCGTTTGTATATGTTTGGAGTCAAGAATCCGAGTAATAATGTTTTGAGCGCAACAGTCATGTTTAGACGTGTTGACCAAAAGCGAATAATAATGGTTACATATCTCAGCTGCCTGCTGTTTGTTGTGAGTCTAGCAACTGGCTTTATAAATGAGAAGACTGTCATTTTGAGATATTGGATGGGGTAGGAGGATGTGATGCTTGGTGAGAAAATGAAGCATGAATTGAATAGACGGGGAGCATAATTCAGCTTTAAGAGGATTTTGCCTTTCATTTGAGATTTTATAGCCTATATATATGGTGTGCTGACTTCCATACTTTTTTTAGACAGTGCTATATAAGTGCATCACACTTATATGCTGGTCCTTAGTAAACCACGCTTAGTAAAGGTGACTCTCAAGATTCACAGAGGTAGCATAAATTTATGTAAACAAAAATAACACATGACAATCAGTTCAGTTACATGAATTTTGAAGCCTGTACACAGAACAATTAATAAAAATGTGAAAGTATAAATAAAAATCCAGCTAAATTATTAACTTTTTATTAAACACAAAAGTTTACAAATTAGAGTTCACTATGAGGCAGTGTTGGGGAGTAATTACATGTAACGGAATTACGTAATTTCATTACAAAATAAATGTAATTGTAATCAGTTACAGTTACTGACAAAAAAATGTGTAATTAAATTAACAATTTTTTAAAATACACCAATTAAAACTTGTAATTTGACGTTACTGCACAGTGTACTTTTAAAGTGTACTTGAGTGTGTTAAGAAACAGTGATAAAAGAGTACTCTCTCTTGAAGTGCATTTAAGTGGCCATTTAATTAATATTCTATTATCTGCAAATACAGTTTTAATATACATTTAAGACTGAAGTACACTGAATACAATTAACTGCACTGCTTTTTCACAGTCTGAAAACATCACTGCATCATAGTCAGTGTTGGGGGGGGAGTAATTACATGTAACGGAATTACGTAATTTAATTACAAAATAAATGTAATTGTAATCAGTTACAGTTACTGACAAAAAAATATGTAATTAAATTACAGTTACTTATGAAAATGTTAATGATTACAAAGAGGGTTACATCTGAATTTTTTCACCCACACCCACATACAGATTTAATTGACTTCTTTCATAAATTGCAGTGACTGCTCTAAAATATGAGACACCAATGTTTCAGGAATTTAGGACACGATAACTTTCTATTTGGGTTTATATATGCTTTATTTTAATCATAAATTATATATGAACAGATAATCTGTTTTTTTCCCCCCAAGGCATTGTTAAATGCCAGTGTTTCCTGTCATAGCTATGCAAAGATTTGATTTCAAAAACAGTATCATTGCTAACTATTAAACTATTTATTTTTATGATTTTATATCTATTTAACCTCAGAATGATCTCAAAGTAAAAAAATGTGCTAAAGTTTGATTTTGTGGTGGCTATGCTTTAAATTAAATTATTGTAATCTTAATTCAAGTAAAGTATTTTGAAAGTCTGACAGTAATCAGTGTTTAGAACTGTAAGGTTAACCCATGCCTGGTTTAAATGTTTGCATGATTAACAGTTGAAAATATTACAAATTTAGCAAAGTTATCAAATGTAATCAGTTACATTTCTTTTAATAAAGTAATTGAAATAGTTACACTACTTATTAAATTTTAAATAGAGTAAAACTTGTAATCTGTAACCTGTTACATTTCTAAAGTAACCTTCCCACACTGCTATGAGGTAGCCATAGTATGGACACTATATTGTCATAATATCGACAAACCATAAGTAGGCCTACTGTAATTATTTGTCATGTTGTGATACACTTACACATCCAAAATATATTACAAAAAGCGTTATAATATTTTTATCTGCGAAAGACAAAACTCCCTGCTCCCATAAAAAAAAAAAAATCTGATGTCGTTGAATAATTCGCACACTGTAGGCTATATATCATCCACTCACTGAGGAAGTTTTATTAACAACATTTTAAGTTTAAAGGGTTAGTTCACCCAAAAATGACAATTCTGTCATTAATTACTCACCCTCATGTCGTTCCAAACCCATAAGACCTCCGTTCATCTTCGGAACACAAATTAAGATATTTTTGATTCATTCTGACAGCTCTCTGACCCTCCCATAGACAGCAAGGGTACTACCACGATCAACGTCCAGAAACGTAGCAAGGAGATCGGTAAAATAATCCATGTAACATCAGGGGTTCAACTGTAATATTACGAAGCTACGAGAATACTTTTTGTGCGCAAAAGAAAAAAAAAACAACTTTATTCAACAATTCGTCTCCTCCACGTCACCCTAGAGCCATTTTGGAGAGTATCCACTGAACGTAAACAGCGTATGTTGTTCCGTGTCAGCCGCACCACACGGATACGTTGTTTTCGTTCAAATCAAAGCACAACCAACGTAGAAAATATATCTGTTATCATAAAAAACATATGTCTGCATTTGTGATCAAACACTCCAAAGAGAAAGGAAAACTTGAAATCGCATCATATGACCCCTTTAATTATTCAGCTTTCCGATTATGTATAAATCTCAATTTAAAAAAAAAATTTGACCCTTATGACGTAAAAAATTGACCCTTTGTGGCCTAGGGTCACATTTGTACATAAACGAAAAGATCGAAATCGAAAAGATGATCAGAGCTCATAAATGTGGAAACTTGGGCACGTTCACGCCTTTGAGAACGTCAAACCTCGTCTCGCTCACGTCGTATTACATCACTATAGGTAAGAGAATCAGTCAGCAGCATGAAGGATGTAGCAGAAATAAACACTATTGAACTGTGCCTGCAGTCTCTTTCGCGGTTTCTCTCATCAAACTGTGGGCGTCTAAAAAGTAGTAGCGTGCTTAAGGATGAGAACGTCTCAATCAAAGAAGCAGGCATTTACTGCTGCCGGAGAAAATGAAATCTGAAATTCATTTTCTAATTGGAATGGAAGGGGAGAGCATTATGTGATCTCGAGCGGCTCACCCACGCATGCAATCACAATCGCCTGATTTAATCTGCGGCCACAGTGAAAGCAGCACGAGCCACCTGTTTGTTTGATATGTCGATATCCTCTTCTAAGCCTGTGATTGAACTGTTGGCAACTGACAGATAGGCTATGTTTAACACATATGTGCATTGCTGTCAGAGCTATACCTTTTGTGTATTTCTTTTAAACATGCATCCAAATTAATGTGTTAATTAAAATATGCAAGCATGAACAAATTGGTTGGTGTTATTTTGTGAACGCTGTGAAGTTAATGTTCTTCTAAGGTGCCTGTGCTCCACATATTCAGCTCAGCAGATGCTCTACAGAGAATGTTCAACAGAAAATCGTGGGTCACAAGAGAGACCCAAAGGTTGAAACACTTCAACCGTGGTGCCCTCACAAAATGTGTGTGAGGGACAGATATCAGAGAAGATGATGAATGTGAAAAGTCAGTGAACGGCTTTTCATTTTCATCATCTTTGCTGATCTTTCAGATATAGAATGGGGAAAAGAAGGTCTTGAAATTAAAGTATGAGTTGGAGGGAGAAACTATAAATATTTTGCAAGTATATTGCAAATTTTACAAGCAGAAAAGAACTGACAAGTATATGAGCAGAAGCTAGTGATGTTTACATGCTTATTATGCTGCTTTTCTTTCTTTTTATTTTGTTTCTCATACACTATATTCTGATTCTGATTCTGATCTGATTCTATACCTATTGTGGCATCCAAAAGTCTCAGACTGCTAGTGAAAATGCATCTATTGTCTATTCTTTTCTAGTTTAATATTTTTATTTGCAAATCATGTTATTAGGATAAAAGTTGATTCGAGTTGGATTGAAAAATTAACAGGAGTTGAGAATGGCAGAATTTCTTAGTATTTTGTTTTTGCTTTTGCTTTAATGACAAAAGCTCTTGATCTAAACCTGTTCTTCAATGGGAACATTGAAATTTGCTCTTTTGTACAAAGGAGTTCACATGGTCAGTGTCAGAATTTAGCTTGTATGATTGGTGATCTAAAAATCATGCAAAACCTCATAATTTTGAATTTCATATAATTTGTCATAACTTCTTTCTTGATTTAATGTTTTTGACAATTATTTCAGTGTATTTCAGACTTTAGGGCTACTCTGTACATTTTCAATTGTGGTACAGTAAATTAAACATAAATTAAACCTTTTAAAAAAACATTGTGCTTGATTTTTCTGTGTACATTTCAAAGTCATATTGGTGCAATTTGTATTAAATGTGGAAAAAATGTCTGGAGCAAAACACAGTTTGGCATATAACGGTGTGAAATATTTGTTTTTAATTATGCATGCCAATATTCTGTGCTTTTTGCCAGTTCTCTGAACATTTGAATATGAAAATCTGTCTTAGAATTTGTGCATACAAAAAAAGTGGGGGGAAAATAACATAAATAAAAAATAAATGCACTGTCTTGTTATGCAGTACTTAATTCTACACTTGTATGTTTCCCTGTAGTTTGGAAGGTTGCCCTGAATCAAGAAGAGCAGCTGTAGACACCAGCAGCTGGGTTTCACTACCATCCTAATGCACAGCACCCTCTCAGACTGACGGGTTTTCACTGGCAGCAAACTGGCAGAGAGAAAGACAGCTCACACAGGTGGGCCAGCAGCAGCATCCCAGAGATTATAGATTTGGAGATTACAGGACAACAGCAGGTCAGGGCACACTGCCTTGTTGAAATCCGAGTTCTCCACCTCACCAATTCCGTTAAGAGCTGTCATCGTGAAATTGGCAAGTGAGCCCTGCGACACAACACATTCACATGCACTCGGCTGATCACGTACTCCACTAGCTGCTAGACAGATGCAGTGTTAGAAGAAAATCGGATGCTGTTTTTGCATGCCTTTTTCTTTAATCCAGCTCCTTGCCGCTCAAATCCCTTTTTGTGCTTGAGCCGTTAGATTCTTTCAGTCATCTTTGTTGCTTATTTTTATTTGGTTCATTTTTATTATCCACTGACCTGGAGAGAGTCAAAGTGCTCAAATTATCAAACCATGATGGCAGAATATCCTAAAGTGCTTATCTAGACTGGAATGTTCAAACCACACAGTTAGGAAGGGAAACTGTTGGAACCAGAGGTTCCTCATATTTGAATCTCCAAGCTGCTTTCATTGAAGACGCCGTAAAGACCAAGAGACAAACGCTGTGGCATGTCTCTGCACTTAAAGTAACTCACAGGATACGCAACTACCGCTAAATGAATGAGACTGAAAGAGTTTGAAGAGTGTTGTAGAATGTAAAGCTATTCAAGATGTCTGCAAAAGAGCTTCATTATAAGACTGTGAGAAAACTCCACCCATTTCCACCTCTGGCTGCGAAGTTCGACAAGGTGGCTCGCTAGACAGAGCGTACGGCTGCGGACAAACTGGATTACAGTGACAAACTTGGACTCATAGAGGACTGTAATGGAACAGACACGGTTGACAGCCTAGCTTGTCTGGCACTGAGATGTCAAAACCACAGAGGGGGCTATTCCTCCAACTGTCACTGCAAGGAGAATAGAGCCGATCACACACACGCCTACTAGCAGACTGATTTTTAGAGGCGAAAGACTGGTGTGTGTTTGAACCGTGGCAGTATAGACAGTTCAAAAGCGTGAAAGAAAGAGCTGGAGGAGATCCCATAGTGTAGGGGGAAGAGGCTCCACGGCAGCGGAGACACATTGAAAGAGAAGACTGACAGACTGGAGATCATCGGTGGCAGTTCACAGGCGCACAGTTTTGTGAGATTCACACACTTTTGGGTTTAAAGCCTGTGCCGCTCAGTACACCGAGTAGTACTGAGTCCAGTTTGGGCACGGTGGCAGGGGCCGGTTCATGGCAGTGGGGCGGGCGCATGCCGTCTGTGCCTCCGCAGCGAGAGGGACGCTTCGGCTTGGGATGGGGTTGGGGTTGGGGTTGGGCCGCATGGGCGCGGGCTCAGAGGGCGGGCGAGCTGAGACCCTGTGTGCCCGCTGGAGTCGGACCTGTGGCGGCAGGGGAACGTGGGGGCATGATAAAGGTTGGAGGGGTGTGTTTAAGGATATTCTGCCCAAGCCGTCATCAGAAAAGGAATGCCATTCCAGAGCGGAAGTACAGGTGCATCTCAATAAATTAGAATGTCGTGGAAAAGTTAATTTATTTCAGTAATTCAACTCAAATTGTGAAACTCGTGTATTAAATAAATTCAATGCACACAGACTGAAGTAGTTTAAGTCTTTGGTTCTTTTAATTGTGATGATTTAGGACTGTAATGGAACAGACACGGTTGACAGCCTAGCTTGTCTGGCACTGAGATGTCAAAACCACAGAGGGGGCTATTCCTCCAACTGTCACTGCAAGGAGAATAGAGCCGATCACACACACGCCTACTAGCAGACTGATTTTTAGAGGCGAAAGACTGGTGTGTGTTTGAACCGTGGCAGTATAGACAGTTCAAAAGCGTGAAAGAAAGAGCTGGAGGAGATCCCATAGTGTAGGGGGAAGAGGCTCCACGGCAGCGGAGACACATTGAAAGAGAAGACTGACAGACTGGAGATCATCGGTGGCAGTTCACAGGCGCACAGTTTTGTGAGATTCACACACTTTTGGGTTTAAAGCCTGTGCCGCTCAGTACACCGAGTAGTACTGAGTCCAGTTTGGGCACGGTGGCAGGGGCCGGTTCATGGCAGTGGGGCGGGCGCATGCCGTCTGTGCCTCCGCAGCGAGAGGGACGCTTCGGCTTGGGATGGGATTGGGGTTGGGGTTGGGCCGCATGGGCGCGGGCTCAGAGGGCGGGCGAGCTGAGACCCTGTGTGCCCGCTGGAGTCGGACCTGTGGCGGCAGGGGAACGTGGGGGCATGAGATGCTCCCTTCGCTTCTGCGTGGTCTTGGGATCCCTGTCCCTCCTGTTCCTCACGTCGCTCTTCTTCTCCTTCTCGCTGAGAGGAGGAGTCGGCTTGCCTTACTTGGAACCCCCGGGATGGGAAGAGTCACGCAGGGTTAAGCTAGTGCCCAGCTATGCCGGTTCCCACCGGGTCGTCCCGGCCGAGAGCTCCCAGCAGAAGACATGTGCCTGCTCTCGGTGCGTGGGTGACCCAGGCGTTTCTGACTGGTTCGACGAGAACTATGACCCGGACATCTCGCCTGTGTGGATTCGGGACAACATCCAGCTGCCTTCAGACGTGTACTACTGGTGGGTGGTAAGTGATCTTATGGTTACTCGCTGCTGCTTTTAGATTTAGAAACCCTTTCAGTTGATGTGGTTAGACTTGCTTTCTACATGCTTTCGACCTCATGCATTAACTAAATGGAAAAACAAAATGAAATGGCTGCAAAACTGTTGCACGGGAACTCGCACAGTCCTTAATAAAAGAGACCTAATTTTGTTGTGCTTCTCTCCTTTAAATGAGAGAGGTTAGCAATCTGCATTTGTGCTTATGCATCATGTTTAAGCGACAGGAAGCAAAGAGGCCGTTTTTATTAAAAAGAACATGAGTAATGTCTGAAAAAAAAGTGTGTCAGCTGAAAAGTGTAAGTCTGTAATACTTGCTCAGAGTGAATTAAAAGCAGGGCAGGTGCCGGAGTGCATTAAGCAAAAGAAGCAGAAAGATTTTGGGATGAAGGTTGGGAACATGCTTGCACTTATGGAAACTACTGAATCTGACATTTTCTGAAGAAAATGTAAGTGGTGCTGTTAGAATGCTGGGGTGTTCTAGGCAATTGCTAAGATGCCTGATTACTGGTCCAAAAAAAGCCAGAAAGAAAAACAAAAATGAAAGTAATTGTTTTGGCAATGTTGGACTCATTGGACATTCATTTCAGAGTATAATGGGCGTAATTACTCAAAACTAATTATGTAATTTGTTTTGTTATGAAACTTCTGTTGGACTGATGAAATTCATCTGTGTGGAATTTTTGAATTGCAATGAATTAAATTCCTCTTCCTTTTAATAAAATTCCAATTCAGCATCCTGTGGGCTGTAACAAGTTCAAATCAAATTTAAATTTAATCAAGTCAGGAATTTAAATTTAGATTTTTGCCCAAAACTGCTATATATAAAGATGCACATATAACTTACATGAATGCAGACTACTGTTCTAGAGGGGTTGATAAGTTTTGTTTTTTTAAAGAAAGCTGTTTATTTGATCAAAAATTCATTAAAAACCACAATATGTTGAAATATTATTACAATTAACAAAAACTTGTTTCTATTTCAAAATGTAATTTATTCCTGTAATGGCAAAACTGAATTTCCAGCATCCATTATTCCAGACATCAGTACCACATGATACTTCATTATACAGTTGTTTCTAAATATTTCTGTAAAAACCACAATTTAAGGATTCACTGATGAATAAAAATGTATTTGAAAAATAAATTTTTATAACAATGTGATTGTCTTGTGATCCATTTAAAGCACCCTTTGCTGAATAAATGTATAGAAATCTAAAACATGAAACAAATCTTTCTGATCCTAAACCTTTGAATGGTAGTGCATAACTTTCTGTTGATGACAGAATCTTGTATTAAACTCAATGGCTCCTGTTATTTGGATGGGCACAGAGTAAATTTGGTGGCTGGCATCTGTACCCAGAAAACATCTGCCAAGAATTATTAGGTCCAGTGGAGACCTGGTAAACTCTGCCAGTCATTGGCAGCAGGGACCATGAGGAGAAGAAAGGAGGGAGAGAAAACATGGAAAGATAGAGAAGGGGTTTGGTTGGTTGGAAGGAAGCCATGTCATGGAGGGATGTCAGAAAAATACAAAAGGAAAGATTTTAAGTCTGGTCTTGGTTTTCGGAACGTGTTTTTGTTGGATCTTTTTTTCTATTCATCACAGCAGAGGGCTTCAGCGGCTAATTGGCTGCCTGGATGTTTATTTTAGTATGCATGTGTGCACAGGCAGGTGTGCAGATGGTTTGAAGTTAAAAGATAACTGCCCAACCTTATGTTAGTTTCTTTCTTTCGCTCTCTTCCTCCCTCTCTTCTCTTCCCTCTGGGCCTTGTACAGATGTTGCAGCCTCAATTCAAACCCCACAACATCCAGCAAGTTCTACAGAGGCTGTTCCAGGTCATTCCAGGCCATTCCCCGTACGGTTCGTGGGACCCTGCCCGCTGTCTGCGCTGTGCTGTGGTGGGGAATTCGGGAAACCTCCGTGGGGCAGGTTACGGTCCGGTGATCGATGGCCACGACTTCATCATGAGGTGAGTCTTGAAATGCCAGCAGGGAAAGAAAACAGTCTTTCGAACTGCGTATCAAAAATTAGGAAAAAGATTTGGTCTTGTTTTGAAATTTTAAAAATAAGACATACAAATTAAATTGGTGCCCTGGAATTCAGAATGAGTTTGTCTAGCTCGGTTATGATAGTTTTGGATTTTCAAAGTTGTTTTTAATTGAACACTATTATTTAGTTGTTGTTTTTTCACAATTAACTTGTTTTAGTTTTAGTTTTTTTTTTTTTCTGCAGTGTTTTTCAGTTTAGGTTTTATTTTGTGGGCATTTTTTTATAATTAGAATTAAAGGTGATTTCTGTACTTGGCAAAAAATAATTACTTTTCAAACAGGTAC